ATGGGAAGAGAAATTAGTAATAATAGTGGTAGTTAGTAGTAGTAGTAATCATAGTCATAGGGTTAGTTAGTATTAGTACTAATAGTAGGTGGTAGTAGTAGTAGTAAGAGTAGGATGGGAAAAGCAGGAGTTAATAATAGTAGTAGTTAGTAATTGTAGTAATTAGGAGGAGGTTAGTAGTTAGTTGTAAAGGGAGGAGAAATTGGTAATAATAGTGGTAGTTACTGGTACTAGTAATAGTTAGTAGTATTAGTAATAGTAGTAGTAGGAAGAGGAGGAGGAGTTAGTAGTTATAATGAAAAGAGGAAGAGTGGGAGGAGGAGGAGTTAGTAATAGTAGTAGTCAGTACTAGTAGTAGTTAGTGGTTGTAGGACAAGGTGGGATGGGGGGAGGAGGATGAGTTAATAGTGTAGTAAAGGGGTAGTTAGTAGTAGTACTAGTAGTAGCACTAGTAGTAGTTAGGGGGAGGAGGAGGAGTTAGAAGTAATAGTAGTGGTAATTAGTAGTTAGTGGTAGTAGTAAGATGTGGGGCTGGAGGAGTAGTTAGTAGTGGTAATGGTAGTAGTTGTAACGGTGGTAGTGGGTAGAGGAGGGAGAGTAAGCATTCATACGGCACTTTCAGGTTTGCACTTTACAATTATTATCACATTTGATTCTCATAACAACCCTGAGAGGTTGATCCTATCATCATTCACATTTTACAGATGAAGAAACTGAGACAAACAGAAATTAAGTGACTTTCCCAGGGTCACAAAGTGAGTCTGTATCTGAGGCTGGATTTGAACTTGGGTGTTCTGGACTCCAGGTCCATTGCTCTGTCCTCTTTGCCCTCTAGCTGCTTTAGTTAGAATGTCTGCTAGTGGTAGTAGTGGTGGTGGTGGTGGTAGTAGTAGCAGTAATAAATAACATTTATATAATGTTTATCATGTGCCAGACACTTCAAAAATGTAATCTCATTTGGTCCTTACAACACTTGTGTGAAGTAGGATTGAAGTATTATTATCCCCATTTTACAGAAGAGGAAGCAGAGGCAGGCTGAGGTGAGGTGATTTCCCCCGAATAACGTATCTAATAAGCATCTGAGGCTGGATGTGAACCCAGGTCTTCTTTCCTCCACGCCCAGCGCTGCATCCAGTGTGCCTCCTCACTGAGTCTAGTTAGAATGTCTAGTAAATATCCAAAGTGAGAATCATGCATGGTTCTTTGTGAATCCATATCCAGCGGGGGTCTCTCAGCTGTGCCGACACAGAATGGTTTCATCCCTTGTGCCTGGATCACTCTTGTGTTAGCACCTTGTTCTTGGGCGCCATGGCAGATATGGGGTTACTTTGCCCCCAAGTGTCAATCATTCAGTCGGTCAGCAAACATTCAGTGCCAACTCTTTGCCCATGCATTCTAAAGATATAAAGAAAAACAAAAGCACTGCCCCTACCCTTGAGGAACCCCCATTCTTAAGAGGGAGACAGCATGCAATACAAGATACATACAGTGTAAATGGAAAGAGATCTTCAGAGAAGAAATCCTGTTTTTAGGGGGTGTCTTTGGAAGGCTGTGTGTTCCAGCATAAGAGTACCCAGTATGGAGTCAGAGGACGTAGGTTCAAGGCCCTGCCCTGTTACTTCCCATCTATGTGGCTTTGGGGAAATCATTCCAACTTCCTGGGCCTCAGTTTCCTCATCTGCACAGTTTGGGGGGCGCAAGGAAGGCCTGGGCTAGATGGCCTCCAAGATCCGGTGCCTTCTGGCTGGACGTCTATCTGTGCAGCTGGGATCTTGTTTTCTCCTTTCCTTGCACGGGGATTGTTTCTGTTTCTCTCCATCTATGAGGGGAGTGACTTTTTTCCCATCACTCTGATGATGATGATGATGATGATGGTGATGATGATGATGATGATGATGATGATGATGATGATGCTTAGCATTTATATAGCACTTTTTGGTTTGCAAAGTGCCTATCAATATTATATCACTAACAAATGATTAATCAATAATATTACAATATTATTTCATTTGATCCTCACAGCAATCCTGGGAGGGAGGTGCTATTATTATCCTGTTTTACAGATGAAGAAACTGAGGCAAGCAGAAATAAAGTGACTTGTCCAGGGTCACCCAGCTAGTCATGACTGAGGCTGGATTTTAACTTGGGTCTTTCTGACTCCAGTTCCATTGCTCTCACCTCTGTGCCCCCTAGCGGCCTTCTGGTGACCTGAACATCTGTTTCTCATCTAAGGCTCTCATCTTTCCTAGCACTGCATCTTTCCTAGCACTGCCTCTGCGCTTTCTTTGGCCCCAGAGATGTGCTGCATAGTCCCAACAAGTGGCCTTCCAGCCGCCACTCAAAGACCTCCAGGGAGTGGGGGTGTACCACCCACTGCACTACAGGACAGCTTTCCTCATTGGGAAGTCCTTCCTGACATCAAACCTAACTTGGCTGCTTTGGCCCTCTGGAGCCACGCAGAACAAGTCTATCCTCTCTTCTAAGTGCTCTTTCATTAACCGTTGTCATGTCCCCCTAAGCCTTTTCTTTTCTAGACTAAACATCCCTGGGTTCCTTCAGCTGAGCCTTGTATAACGTGGACTTCAGGCTCTTCACCATTGCCCTCCTTTTAGTTGTCCACAAGCCTCTCAACATCCTTCCTAAACTATGGTTTAACCCAATACTCCAGATGTGGAGTCACTGTTGCAGAGTATAAAGGAGTAGATTACCTTCTTGGCCCTGGATGCCATTCCTCTCCAGATATAGCCTCAGCTTGCATTACCTGTGGGGCTGCTGTATCCCCCTCAGTGACTCTCAGAGCTTGCATTCTGCTAAAACCTCCAGATCTTTTTCTGCTGATTCACAATTATGACAAATTATTGTTGCTTGATTTGCCAAAACTTTCAACATTTTGGTCCAACATGCCCTACACATCAGGCAAATCCCTCTTCCTCTTTACCTCTGTTTATCTCAACTGAAAAAGATGGCATTCCGATGGGATGCCCTCTGGGTACTTGTATCGCTGGAGGACTTTGTTTCCAACTAGATCCTTGGTTTATGCAGATCTGTGAAACCGTTGGCACCATCTGTCCTTGGACATCATTCAACCCTGACTTTTACTTATGGGCTTTGTTTTGACTTATTTGTCATAATTAATTCTCTACAGCTGAGTTCATTTCATCAACTGTTTGATGCAGTGAATGTTTCACCTACAAGCCAAAGCCACTGGAGTGGTAGTCACTGGGGGTTCAAAGAGAAAAGCAAAGCCACCCATCCCCTCTGGGAGTATCTTCTACTTGGGGGAATGGGGCACCAAGAGAGGGAGGTTCAGTCCTCCTGAGAAGAGCTGGTTCATCATCCGCTTCCCTGTTCCATTGTAATCTCCTCATGGGCAGGCACTGTCTTTTGCCCTTCTTTGAATCCCCAGCACTTAGCACAGCGCCTGGCACACAGTAGGCACTTAATAAATGTCGACTGATTTGACTAACTCCAGGGTCCATTGGGCTCTAACTAATGTGCCGCTGGTTCTCTTGCAGGACATCGACTGGGTGCAGACAGAGAAGCATGTGTTTGAACAGGCCTCCAGTAATCCATTCCTCGTGGGCCTGCACTCCTGCTTCCAGACGTCGAGTCGGTAAGCAAGCAGAGTGAGGGACTGCTCCCTTTCCTCCCTAACCGCAGGAACTTTGCTCCTTCTAAGACAAGGTGATTGCCCTCTGCAGAGGCTGTCAGAAAAGAAAAATAATAACAACAGTAATAATGGTGGTAGTAATTGATTTATTGACTTAATTATATTATGATTGTTATTGTTACTATTATTATTGCTAACATTTATATAGCACCTACTACGTGCCAGGCACTGTGCTAAGTGCTTTATAATGATGTTCTCATTTGATCCTCACAACAACCCTGGGAGGTAAATGCTGCCAGTACTTCCCATTACTCTCATTTTACAGATGAGGAAACTGAGACAAACAGAGGTGAAGAGACTTGCCCAGGGTCTGAGGCTGAATTTGAACTCAGGCCTTTCTGAATCCAGGGTCAGCGCTCAATGCACTGTAGCACCACCTAGACTTCCAAGAAAGTTAGGTTTGGCTTCCCCTGGGCTCCATCCAAATTAGTAAGCATTACCTAACCATCTGCCAGGTGCCAGATCCTCTGCTTGGCACCCGGGATCCAGAGAACTAAATGAAACCGATCCTGCCCTCAGAGAGCTTTCTATCTAGTTAAGGATAGGACATAACCAGAGGTAATATTGTTCAGTTGTTTCAGTCGTGTCTGACTCTTCATGACCCCGTCTGGGGTTTTCTTGGCAGAGATACCGGAGTGGTTTGCCATTTCCTTCTCCAGCTTATTTGACAGATGAGGAAACTGAGGCAAACAGGGTTGAGTGCCCTGCCCAGGGTCACGCAGCCCATAAGTGTCTGAGGCTGGATGCATCGTTTGCCTCTTGCCAGAGAAGAATAAAATAAGCCTGGGAAGGTCAGGGCACCCAGGTAACAGGCGGTGGGGCAGGGATTCCAAGCTCTGCACTTTTTGCATTTTACCCCCTTCGATGAACGTCCTCTGATGCCTCCGCTTCCTTCACTGACGACCATCTGATTGGTTTAAGGAATCACCTTGCGGGTGGTGACTTCCAGATTTTAAACTGTTCAGTGGATGAGTGCCGCGCCTCCTTTTTGCGTGCTGCCTTCAGGTCTTCTTTCGGCTCCCCGGAGTGCAGTGGGTTTGTGATGAGCTGTCTGGCGTTGGTGGGCTGCAGATGGGTGGACGTGATCAATTCCTAGACGGCATTCCCGACTCTCATCTGTTCCTGCAGACCATCTCTCCTTTCTGGGCTGTGCGTGTATGTGCACGTGTGCACGTGTGCCCCATTTAGCCACTCTTGACTTGCGCCTCCAATTCAGCATCATGGAATGGCCATTCCTGGGGTCTAATCTCAAGGCGGAGTGCAAGTGGTCGGCCAATGCCTAATAATATGCGACCTCTCTTGCCGTGAGTGTCTATTAGGCATGATATCGTTGACCCTCATATTCCAGGGAATAAGCCTCTCACTACTGGTGGGCAGGTAAAGCTTTTATAAAAGGCTAGTTCATTGTCAGGAGCCCTGGATTTGGACTCCAAGGACCCGGGTTAAGATCCTGGCTTTGCCACGTGCTCTGTGTGACCTGGGACACGCCGCTGCTGTGTGCCTCAGTTTCTTTGCTAGTTGAATTACTTGACCTAAGGATCAAATAAGATGCTGTATGGAAAGTGCTTTGCAAGCCTTGATAATGGCGTTTTCAGTGCCCCATTTGTGTTCATAGTAACAATTATTCTCATTCACATTCCAACCCTAAATCCCATGAGATCCTAAGTCATTCTGAATTAGGAAAACAGATCATAGGCTCATATAGCTCAAGTCTGAAGGGGACTCATTGATTGCATCCAGCTCTTTCATTTTATAGATAAGGAAATTGAGGCTCAGAGATGGGGAGTGACTTGCCCAAGGGAACACAGGTAAGGAAGACTTGAGTTCAGATTCAGCTTCAGACACTTACTGTATGACCCTGGGCAAGTCACTTAACTCTGTTTTCTGTTTGCCTCAGTTTCCTCATCTATAAAATGATCTGGTGAAGGAAACGGCAAACCACTCCAGTACATCTGCCAAGAAGTTCCCAAATGGTGTTATGACTGAATCACGGAGAGTCAGACATGGCTGAATAACAACACCGAAATGCTATTAAAACTTGAGAGACACCCTGTCTAGACAGTATCTGGGAGTTAACGTTCGAGGGAAAGGCTTTAGCACCTGGGGCGTTGGGGAGCAGTCCAGGGGTGAGGGACTGTCATAGTTCCCTCACAGAAGGTGGCATCTGAGCTGAGTCTTAGGGAACAAAAATATGAATTTACTTGACATGAGTCAACAGTTTGAGACAAAGTATAATTAGGTGCTAAATCATGTGTCATAGACAGTACAGTAGCAGCTTGTCACACTGGAGAGGGCATTGGATGTAGAGTAAGGAAGACCTGAGTTTGAATCCCAGCTCAGACACTTACTATGTAGTGGCCCTGGACATGTCATTCAACCTCTCCATACCTCAGTTTACCCATCTGTAAGTGGGAATAATGGAAGCACCTACATCACACTATTGACTTCCCAAGCTTCCATCATGTCTCAGCTAAAATCCCACTTGCTACAGGAGGTTTTGCCTGATTCCCCCTAATACTAATGCTTTCCAATCTCTGATTATTTCCCATTTGTCTTTTATAGAGTTTGTTTCTATGTGCTTATTTTTGATTGGGCAGGACAAACTCCCCAGCAATGAGAATTTGTTCCAAAGTAGGATGGGCAGTTTCTGAAGGTAGTGAGTTTCCCCCTTACTGGAAGGCTTCAGGCAATATCTGGAGGACCACTGGTCGTGATGCCATAGAGTGCGTCCTTTTCCAGTTATGAATGAATGAAAAGGATTTATTAAGTGTTTACTCTACCAGGGGATTATATTCTTGAATATGTTGAACTGGTTGGCCATTGAGATCATATCCAGCTCTTTCACATTCTACAATAAGAAAACAAAAGAAAGACCTGTCCACAGAGGCAGAGAGGGAACTTTGAGTCTGGGATGTCGCAAAGATGGTGAGTGGAGGGGCAGCTAGGTGGTGCAGTGGATAGAGCACCGGCCCTGAAGTCAGGAGGACCTGAGTTCAAATCTGGCCTCAGATCAAACACTTGACACTTACTAGCTGTGTGACCCTTGGCAAGTCACTTAACTCTAATTGCCTCACCAAAAAAAAAAAAAGGGACGGTGAGTAAAGCCACACGCCCTTTCTAGTAACAGTGGCAGGGTTGACTTCAGTGCCGTTCCTTGAGGAAGATGTCAAGACCAGAAAGAGCGAGCGTCCATGGAGCAAAATGATATTGTCGTCAGATGGCCCGGAACCTGCTGGCAGTAATTAATGTAACGTGTGAGGTGTCATGCCAAGTTTCAGGGAAACTTAGTTGTCCGGATTGGCTGGAAAATAGAATGCCTGAATTAGAGAGTAATGGAAAATAGAAAAGCAGGTGGACCTCAGATTAGGATTGACCTTAAATTCCATGCTAAGGATTTCTTATTTTATCAGAGGGTCAGTTGGAGCCACTGGACTTTACTGAGCTGAGGAGTGATGTGGTCCAACTTGAACCTTAGGAAAGTCACTTTGCTAGCACGTTGGAGAGCTAATTGGAAAGAGGACAGAGTTGGTAGAGTTAGGGTATTAAGCCCAGGGAGCCCCATAATGTGGCCATTTCAGTAATCCAAGCGTGAGGTGATGAGGTCCTGAATTTGGGTGGTGTTTGCATGAATCTGCATGAAGGGGCAGATGGGAGAAATGCTGTGCTTGTGGACAGCTGTTGGTCGTACAGAGAAGGCATGCCCATGTCTCTGACCAGCTTGTTGTCTCCACCCCCTCCACTCCCCCTCCCCACCCCCTCAAACTGGCTCCTGTCAGTTAATAGCCCTGTGAACAAAGGAGTAAACAGAAGCATCCTGCTTTGTTCCCTGGGATTCTTCTTCTCTGAGGAAGAACAATATAACAAATCCAAAACAAAGCCCAATTGTAGTACAAATTGTAGTATTACAGGTATGAATTTTAATTATATGCATCAGTTATATGCTGTGACCCAGGTCCTAGGAATCAATGTTTTTGACTACTCAGCCAAAGGTTACATCTCTTTGAGTCATCCTACAGCTCAGCCCGGTCCTTAAACGGCCAGGGCTTCTCCCAAGCAGCCCCCAGCCCTGAAACTCCCATCAGGGTTTAACCCTAGGTCTAAGCTGAGCAGACCTGCCCCTTCCTTTTGTGAATCAGGAACCAAGGACAGTGTTTTAACTTCGTTACATCCAGGACAGGTAACTGTGCTCCCAGGAGCACCAGCATGATGAAAAAGAAAGGCTTCCAGAAATATGATTGATCAGATTCAGTTGGGCTAAGGTCAGTTATGCTCAGGAGTCCCTAATGGTAGCAGTAGCCACCTGCCAAATAAATTAGTGAGTAAAATATTTGGTGAACTGCCCAGGATCTAAAAGTTGGAGACCTCTGCCGTCCTTTCTAGCTCTCTGTCCCCTTGCCCTTTGCTAGGTCCTATAACATCAGAACAGTGCAAAAGTAGAATCAATCCATTGGCCAGCAAGCGTTTATTAAGTACCTACTATGTGCCAGGCACCATGCTAATTACTGGAGATAAAAAGAAGGGCACAAACAGGGGAGCTTACAATCTATTGGGAATCAACATTCAATCAACTATGTATCCTAAGCTATACAGTATAAATGGGTGGTAATCTCAGAGGGAAGGTACTACCAATGGGAAAGGACCAGGAAGGACCTCCTTTAGAAGGTGGGATTTGAGTTGAGTCTTAAAGGAAGGTGTGGAAATAAAAGTATAGGCCCTGGTATAGAGGTGGCATTCTAGATATAGGTAATAGCCAATGAAAAGGTATGGAGGTGGAGTGCTGTGGGCTGGAAATACCAGGGAGGCCAGGATGGTGGAATCATTGAATACGTAAAGGGCAGTAAAATGTTAGAAGACTGGAGAGCTCTCATCTTGTGTTCTACTTTAAAGGTCCTCTGACCCTAGAACCAATGCTTCTTCTCCTGCACCAACATGGCCTTGGAGAT